CTATATATTTGAGAACTAAAGTCATTCACAACTGCCAGCCCCTGATAGATACAGTACAGCTATTCTTGGTGGGTAGGAGAATAATACAGCAGATGTTGAAAGCCCATCCAAAGGATCACAAAAAGTAAGAGAAGCTTTTGAAGATGGATGGAACGCACATTAAGGAGAAATGTTGACTTTTTCAAAAACTGGACTTGTAGGGAAGGGAAAATGGAAATACCTAAAATACAGCCTGAATTCTCCTTAGAGACTCAAATACTTTTCATGCTTTGCTGTCTTCGTTCCCTGCAATATAGCTACTTCTTCTCCCTGGTTTTCATGCCCATGTATATCTGATATCTGGGCTTGTTTCCTTTTCCCATTCTCTGTCTCTCTCCATCCCTCTCTGACCAATCTTTCAACATTTCATACCATTTTTTAAAAATAAACCTCATGTATGTAGATTTCTGGGATTTTCTCAAATGACCCATCTATTCAATAGAGGGGTTTGGAAATGCAAAACAAAAATGGCTACATAGCTCCAGGACTTTAGCAGGAGGGATCAGGAGAGTAACGAAAGTAAAGGATTCATTAGCAGTTTCTGTCACACATACAAGAATTGTCGCTTGTCTTTTTTTGCTAAATTAGCTCATCTCCCACAGTTCTTTTTTCTCCCACCAGTGAAAAGCTGACTAACACAGAATGACAGAAATAGGGAAGGTTGGGCTGCATTGCAGAGATGACATGGAAAATTGCAGTATCCACAATTTTTATACAGTATACTAAAGTGATATTTGTAGTGAAGAAATGCTAATTATGAAAAGTTAATTCTCTAATTTTCTGCATTAGATATATCTAAGTAAATATTCCCAAAGCCTTCCCAACTCAGAATGGAATATTGTCAGCTTCCAAATTTATGGCAGGGAACAAGGTGTTTTCAAAAGTTAGATTGTATACTGGATTTCTACTTCTACTTCTATATCCTTCTGAAAAGGGACAGGGAGCAATCCCTTTATTATGTCCTTTTTGTTTGATCCCTTAATCCATTCATCTTCTTCCTTATCACTGGAGCAGAAGAATTATTAGAAAGTGCTTATCTGATTATAAGGTTCCTTTTCTTGCCTCTTTGCTTCTCTTCAGCTTAAAAAATTAAGTTCCCTTTGATGCTGTGGAATACAGAAGGTAATGCTTAGAAATTTGTGTTTGGGTATTTATTTATATCTTGTCTGTCTGCCCAAGAGGACACTTAATGCATCCAGGACTGATTACATCTGGATAACATTAAATAAAACCTATATGTAAGATTTTCAGCAGTAAAAACAAAACCTACAGTATATAGGTGCTAAATATAATTCATTAAAACGATTATATTTGTCATCTTTTAAAAGCCAAAAAATCTGATCTAATCATTAACACACAAGAAATGGAAACTAGGGTGTGGGGATTTGCATATGGGACCCGGCCAAATGGCTGCTAGTCATTGCTGGGACAGTTGTCTTAGCCACAACTGGGACAGTTGTCTTAGTCACAACTGACAGTAGGGAAAATTAGTCCCTCATATTATCCTGGATTTCTCAGTGGCTGCCTTCAGTGTGAGTAGTGAAGAAATCTGAACATGATTACAGTGTCTCCAGATACTCAGTGCTTTATGTTGTGCCATTCCTAAAGGAACTACAATATTTAGAAATTATTCAGCTTTCCAATATTTTAATCAGGTATAGGATGCAGGCCAACATTTTGTAACGATATGTGGAAATGACCTTGGGAGACAGGGCAACAACATGCAACCAAGGGAACAGTCAGATAAAAGGCAGCTTAGCCCACAGCAGGGCTGGGGGGGGGGGCAAGAGGCTTAGAAGAGATCCTTGCTACTTTGGAGGCTATAAAGGGAATGAGGGGAGAGAAGTACTTTCAGACTTGCAAGATTCTGTTAATGTAACCTTACAATAAAGTAGAATTAGCTCATCTAATGTTTCCTGTCTGGTCTACCTCGTAAGGCAGACACATTTTGCCAGATCTTCAATATTCAGTATCCAAATCAGACCAACTTCAACTATCACTGACAAAGCTAATAAATGCTTTCAGAGAGCTCCTGTTGGCTCCCTTTCTTGGGGATTGAAATCAAGGGATCCAAACTGTACCAGCCAAAAGATATTGGCCAGATGGCCAATATAATATAACAGCTTCAAATAGGAAACCTTATCTAATCTAAGGATTCAATTGGACAGCTGAAAATATTGAAAATTCTGATGGAAATCTAATGAAAGAATAGGTGTCAGTTATGATTTGGGTTGCTTCTCTCCCCTGGTTGATCCTTTGTTTTTATTTAGGTCAGACACTTATCCAGACTGTTATTGCCACTGCAATCCGTTATGATTTTTAAGCATTTTTAAGAAAGAAGTCCTAAAATGAAGTTTAATAAAGACTGTGCTCACACTGATGTAGAAAGAATACAATGGTTAGTTGAAATTAGCCTTTTGAATTGCATATGTATATAGTGTAACCCCTTATTTGAAATCTTCATGTACAAAAATAATATTTTTACTGGAATTATATTTTTACTGCTGTTTGTAATCTCAGCCCTAAATGAGAGCGTGGGAGGGATGTCACCATGTAAGGTCAAAGTAATAACATAAATCTTTTTTTGGAATGTAGGTAAGACCTAAAAGTCATTATGGCTTTATGTGCTTGCTTGGACACTTAGATATCATAACTGAGATTTGTTCTTTCCTTATACCCCTGAGATCAACATTATGTCCAGCGGATCAACGTGTGCACCATGTTCCATTTCTACTTTACTTGTTGTGAGATAATCTAAGAAAACTTCATTCAATCCATTAACTGAAACCAGTCATCTGACATTTTTCCAGTTCCAGGTTCTATAAAAACTGTCAGAATCAGCTCGCCCTTCCATCTCACCCACAATTTGCTAGAGCTAATTCAGTTTGGGTGGCGTTTTAAGCAGATGTTCTGCTGTGCTTATGATAGAATGGCAAAAAGATATTGGTAACTCTGCTATAAATCTTTTGGCAGAGACCAGATAAGAAACTGAAGTTTATTTATTTCCTCATTTTATTGGATCTAGATGACTCTGAGCAGCTAAGATGAAGGAACTCAGTGTGCAATTGTACAGAGGCTTGACAATGCATCTCAATAGTTTTAGGCCCTGGACTTCTGAATGCCCTCCATACAGTTTAGTGATATATGTTGATTTGGTGATATAAAATTTAGTTATATGTCTTAATTAAGCAGCCCTGTAAACTAATGGTAAATTCTTTCTCTAATAGCTTTTCCACCTACAAAAAGGAAATATGGACAGGTTCATAGAATCCCAGTTTGTCAAAGTACAAAAAAACTTTAGATAGGAATCTTTACATGAATCAAGGGGGGATACTCTAAATAGTCATGTTCAGTAAGCTTAGAATGCTGATTGCTGTGCGTATGTGTGTGTGTAGAGGAGAAAGGTACTTAATGTGATGGAGAATAAGTAAGGATCTGAAGTGGTTGAAGATATCTTTACGTGATGAGACAGGACTAGTATTACGCAGTGTGAGCCAAATGTCTCTTTTTTTCTGAAGCAAAAATGACCAGAAAAGGAGAATCTGTTTTCCTCTTGTTTCTCCTCATAGGGGGGAAGGAGGAATAGAATATAAGAGGTGCTCTCTTACACTAGGCAGTATGCTTCATTGCCAGCGTTCCTGCTTTCTCTCTCCTGCTTGTCCAGATTTCTCAGCTTTTACAGCCAATACGAACTGAGTATTGCATTTGAATTTCTGTGAGTTGTTTCAAGGATAAGGATGGCCAATGATTATATCAAAAAAGGAGAAAAAATACATGTGGGAGCAATAATGATCTATGATACCAGATTTATATGAATATAACTAACATAAGAATCTGGTTTGCACATTGTTCTTAGAAAGATGAACCTTAGCAAACCTCATGTCATGTGGAGCTTCCAGATTCTTCCTCCAAGCCATATGGGAGGCATGTATGAGGTCAGGACTTCCCACGAATCAGTTTTATTACTTTAAACTGTGATGTGGCATATAATTCAGCCAAGACTCTTTAAGTCACCCTCCTTAAACTAAAATCCACTGTAAACATTGAAGTATAGATGTTATCATTATTACACCTATGAAGCCGCAATTTAAAATCACCAAAAGCTGCTATCTCATTCAGTCTATGAATGCAGTTTTCCCGTATCTGCATCCATTACCTGTAGATATGTTGGGCCTGTGGCCAGCACTAGGTGCAAATTATTTTTTATTTAACACAGTATATTGACATGCCCCCTTTTGTGCTGAACCATCTTGAAGCAGTAAACAGAAGTAAAACGTATAATAAACAGTACATTAAAGTAGTTTTAAAAACAATATTAAATAATAAAGATGCATTTATATTGTTGCTATTGAAAATAGGGGCTGGAGAATCATTCTTTGAATTACATATCAGAAAGGCCTGGGTGAAGAATGGAGTCTTCAGCAGGTACCTAAAACATGTTAGAGTAGGTGCCTCTCAGATTTGGGGGGTGAGGGAGAACCTTCCAGAACATGGTTGCCTCCATGAGCAGCAAGCAGATGGCATCCAGCACTTCTTTGTAGGCATAGCAGAACTGAGTTCTGTTGAGTTGTATTCCAACATATCTGAAGGGCATCAAATTGGAGAAGACAGTGTTACTGTTTAAGATATAATAATAAGAATGAGAGCATTGTGTTGAGCTTGTCGCAGACTTTGGATCTCTTCTTTAAAAATTTATTGGCCATTGATCTTGTTTTGCTTGTATCTCTTCTGTCTTCCAAAGAAAGTTCTTGTATTCAAGGCCAGCCAGGTTTCTTTTCACAGTCCTCAAAAATTCAAAGAGAATACATTGCAAATGTGTGTTGTCTTGAGGTTAATGTTGATTAATGTATTTAAAACTTGCTATTTCCTTTGCATTTAAAATGTGTATGTATTAATCAGTTTCTTTTCTTCCCCTTCTCTTCTCCTGCCATGTCCTGTTGTGTTTCCTCATGGAACTGAAGGAGCCAACCAAAGGTAAAAGATTTTTATAATACTTTGCAGCCCTGGGTAGTGAATCAAGTTCAGTTCTTTGCCAGAATATTTTCTACTTTCTTTCCAGATGTATTCAGTGCTATTGTAAGAGGAAGGGGAAAACATTTAAAACTGCTTTTCCTTTTCTCTCTCTCTCTCTCTCTCTCTCTCTCTCTCTCTCTCTCTCTCAAACAAGCCACATATTACATTGGCAGCCAAGGCATGAGTCAGAGGAACAAGTCAGAAAACAGTAGCACACACTGAGGATTGAGGGTTGTGGTAAAAGAGTGTTAGGGTTTTTTTGTATTTTGGTTTTAGAGTCGTTTTTTTATCCTTGCACAGTGTCAGATTGCAGTTGTTATTTCCCAGCAGTTTCTTTTTTGTTGAAGAATAAAATGCAAAAGACTTTATCTGCTTTCTCATCACTTTTCTCCAAAAGTTTCTTTTTCCTTTATAAATTAGAAAGTAGATCTAGGTCCAGAAGGACACAAATAGCCATGTATGGCTATGAGAACCAGTGGACTCTTAGCATGAATAAGCATACCTTCAGGCATTGGAGGGTTAGAGTGGGGTGAGGGGCAGGTCCCAAGTGAATACTTTTCTAAAGCCTAATGACTCTTGGTCATGGGTTTACACATTCCTACTAATTTTCAATCATTTTCATGGGACATGTGTGTGTGTGTGTGTATATACACATACATACATACATATACACACACATACATACATACATACACACACACCATTGTATGAACTAGAAATATGCAAGTAGCAACTATCATCATTGATTTCTTCTAGCCCATGACAACTAGAAGCTTTAAAAGCTTGTTTAAATAGAAGTTAGAAGAAATCTGCTCCAGGCAGTGAGTGGGAGCAAATAAGGAGGCAGAATTAATGTTGCTCGGTCTTCAGTCTTCTCAAACTTGGCATTTGATCGGTGGGTTGGACTACAGCTTCCATCTTACTTGGGCAGCACAGCAAGTGGTGGTACAAGCCAGAGATGATAGGAGCTGTAATCTGGTAGACCAAGGTTGAGGAAGTCTGTATTCTTGAAAATTAGCTGCTGAGCAGGGAGGAACTGTGTGCATCCTCAGAGCGAGCTTAGAATGGAATATCATAGAAATCAAATCAAATCATGTGGGCAGGCATGCATTTCAGAAACTATATATGGTGAACTCAGCTAATTGGGTTGTTCACTTTATCATAGGCTTTTAAAATAAGTGTTTCTAAGGCATTTCTTGCTTATCTCTCTGCAGGTGTTTGCCTATGATCACTGCTTCTGGTCTATGGATGAAGCTAACAAAGAAAAATATGCAGGTAGCATTGTAACAATGAACAACTCTGGTGGGAGGAAAATTGGCATTGGTCTAGTAATCATTTGTCAAAAGAGTTAGATGTGGTCCTAGGAGATTCAAAGGTAGTCTCCTGAACTTAAAGAGAGCTTCCTCATTGCCAACACATTTCTAGAAGAACGATATTTTAATTCTCAGGACCAGCAGCAGATCCCCTTCCCAAGAAAGAGCCTGGCCCCTGTTTTTGAAGAGTTATCATTGTGATTTCCACTGAAGTCTGAAAACTGTCTGGAATTCAGTTTTAATTCTAGATTATCTTTTATTCTAGATGTTACCTAGCTTCCCAAAAGTGCAGTTCTGAGTGGACATATTAAACAAGAAGGACAAATTAAGCAGATGTGCTACTCTATATTTCTTGCTGTTTGTGAGACTACGTTTTGGTCCAAAACAGAACTATTGGTAGAAAGAAATAAGAAACACCTACATCCTGCCTAGTTTGATCATAAGATGAAAAGTAGAAATAGGACTGGTTTGGGAGCCAGTATTGGTGCTAGATTGGACCACAGTCTATATTTATAGGGCCATTAGGATTGTTGTTGTTGTTCTGAATATTGAACAGTTGCAGGATGTAGCATGTGTTGCTTTAACGGTCTTACATAAGGTATTTTGTCATTAACTCTAATGAAAGGAGGAAGTAGATTCTGAGGTAGGAAGAATTGAAGGAAGGGGAATGTTGCCTTTTCTGGCCTGAGGGTGAAAGTTCAAGGCACCTCTTGCTCTCCCTGTGGTTCTCCTCTCCATAAAACAAGGAAAGGATGAGCAAAATGCTGGGTGTTGTGGAGGTGCTCCTTGAACAAGCTCTTAGAGCTGGCCCCAGAGTTCCTGCCTCCTGGTGCCTCTCACGCTTTGTGGTGGCGTTCACTGGGGATTTGATTTTTGCTTTTCCCAAGGAACAGGCAGGTAGTCCATGCCTTTGGCATCTTGGTGCAGCATGTTTCCGGGATTCCCAAGCCTTTAGGCTATGCATCACTGAGGTATTTCTACCCATTCCCTTTTCTGATGGAGAGGTCAAGAAAATCTGCTTACTGTGCAAGTAGCCCCAGTTTTACCCAGGGATCTTTTCCCTTCATGGTACATGATGGGAAAAGGAAAGGATGAGCAAATGTAATTCACGTGGGAGCCTCCCTGTAAAAGCAGAGTTTATGTAAGACAGTGTTTATGTAAGACAGAGTTTATGTAAGACAGTGTT